TATATGATGCACACCAACCTCAAAAATACATCGCTCAATTAAACTTCAAGTTCTGAAGGTTGATCATTTTAAAATGAACGGGACTAAACGTTATCATTATAAAAGGAAAAAGAAAACAAATCAAGATTTCCATTAGGAACGATTTTCAACTGGCTATCTCCATCTTCAAAAAGAAAAGCATCCGTTGAGAATTGAGATAAACTTACAAACGCCCGTGAGACCAGTTTGAAAGATGGAGATTTTCGTTGGCCGCAGTTTACCATGCTCACATTCAAAATCCGTCACTTTACGACAGATTTTTGTATGATAAACACATTTTTTTCAAAATATAGATGGAAAGAGGAGGGTGCACGTCAAAGACGAGTTCACAATTTTCAAGAAATTCTACGGTTCACGTGCCAGTTATATTCAATTCTAATGGGAAACTTCGAAACGATTCTACTTTCTACCATAAAAATTATTCTCAATCAACAAAACAGAAAATTAATAAAATTCAAGTTCCATTTGTGTCTACATTATAAGTCCGACGAGTTGTCAATAGAAATGCAGTTTTGCGCGTCTTACTCCAAGATCGGATTCCATCAAAATTGAACGCTTAAAAATCTCCATGCACAACTTACTCGAGGTCGAATTGTACTCGAATAATTACGGCAATAAGGGACGCAACGGGATATCTCAGTGGGCAGGAACTTTGCCATGCACTTCAGAAATCGTATATCGTTACAACGATGTCATTCGTAGGAAAATTCGTCACGAAGTAACTGATTCAAAAGTGAGGCGATTGGACTTGAAAAACGACTCCGGAGTAGGCAATAATTTGTTAAAACGAGATTCGTTGTGAAGAGATTCCACTGTAAGAATAAGATTCACATAGAAGTGACAAAAGCTCCACATCTCACTTCTCACCATGCTAAATTAACACGGTCCACTAGAAAAGTCTGATACGGTAGAACGAAAGGATGCCCATCTCTTTACATTTGCCGCATTTAAACCTCGACCTGGTCCGTCGGAAAACCGCTGAATGCAGACACACTAGGTCGACGACCTGTCCTGACACTTCCATCACACACGGGAACCATCTGACTCCAATAATGAACCGCATTCTCCTCTGACTTATGTCCTATGCAAAAAATTAAAACTTTTCTGACAGGTGCAGGGGAAACGAATGATTACAACGCATCAGACGCTGCTAGTTCACAATCCAGGAACTCAACAGACAATTCACGACAAACACCAATTGTACGACTGGGAAATACTGTATTCGACAATTCCCGGCGCACAGCAATCACTCTACGTGACTTCTGTTCTTGCCCGAGAACAAGTAGCAGGAACAAGACTGGAAAGGAGTACAGTAATGGAATATTTCAACACGAAGAATATGTGCGGGATACGCTGTCAATTCTTCTTGCTCATCAAAGTGTAACATGCAAGCGCGGCGCACCATGAAAAATTGCAATAAAATGGTTTCATGTCTTGAAGGGTCATCTTGGTACACTAATCAGCATTCAACATAAAAAGCCAGAGAACGGTTCACATTCACCGTGACGCGACGTTATGGTACAACTTCCACTCAACGCAGCTCCATTCAACGCTACCTCTTCCACGCCACCCCTAGGAGCGCCAGCCTCTCATTGAGTGACTTCAACTGCAATGCTTGGTGGTGTAGAATGTAAACAGAGACTCCAAGGGACAAATAACATAGTGCACATATAAAAACACCTTTTTAAAATAAATAAAATATATGGAATGAGGTACAGAGATAACAGGAAAGTACTGTATTGAATATTACGTTATCTTCCTACTCCTACACAATTCTTCAACATGTAATTCGTATCTGCAAGCATGCGCAGTTCATGAAGTCACTCATTTTTGGTGTTGAGGGATGGAGTGGTAGGGAATAGCCCTCTGGAGGGGCAGGGTGGAAATGAGTTGCGTCGAGTTTGAAAGTGTACCATAATGTCTGGTCACCCACATTCACACTTCAACTTCGGCGCCAACACCAAGCTCCAGCGGGAACACCAAGTACAGCGCATAGCTAGGGACGGCATTTGCCAGCACACTCCTCACAGCACATCAGAATAACTATGTAGGTGTCACTACAAAACAAGCAGCATGAAGCTGGCACATGCTCTGCTCCATGGAGTGAGGGGGCCCGCACATATTCCCGACTCGGGAGTTTCAGACGCCCCGCAAGCAGTAACTCGGCTCCGCCCGCTGGCGTACCCCCTCCCGGACCTGGGTCTTTCCTTGGGTGACGTTCCCTTGTTACAATCCTGAGAAGCATTAGGGATACCAGTTTGGTCCATTTTCATTATTTGTTCATTCTGATATTTTCATTATTGGAGGGGGTTAGCTTAGGTTAGGTTAAGTTAGGTTAGGTTAAATTAGCTTAGGTTTGGTTAGATTGTTTGGTTAGGTTAGGTTGTTAGGTTAGGTCAGGTTAGGTTGTTAGGTTAGGTTATAGGTTAGGTCAGGTTGTTAGGTTAGGTCAGGTTAGGTTGTTAGGTTAGGTTGTTAGGTTAGGTTAGGTTATAGGTTATAAGCATTGCAAAACTTTGTCATGAACAACACCCTCCAATAATGAATGAAAATGTGCAGGATTTACAAAAACCTCCAGCTTTCAGATTATAAGATCCCTCTACACTCTGACATCTTCCCAGAGAGGCTCAAAACCTGCATTCCCTTGTTCTGCATATGAACATTTTAACCATGGACAATCACCATCTTTGAGATAATAAGCTCCCTCTGGCATCTTCCCGGAAAGGCTCATAACATTGGTTCCCTTGTTCAGCATATGAACAAGGGAACGTCACCCAAGGAAAGCCCCAGGTCCAGGAGGGGGTACGCCAGCGGGGTGGAGCCAAGTTACTGCTTGCGGGGCGTTGGAAACTCCCAAGTTGGGAAAATGTATGTGCCCGGAGTGAGGAGGGTCCCTCCTTACATGACAGAGTGACACCTAGGAGATGATACTGGCTGAATTCCAAACGTCAATGCATCCCACCCAAAAATCCAACCTCAATTGCACCATGCTCAAAACCACTGGTGGAGGGCTCCACCGGTCCACAGTGGGAGAATTTCCTGATTCAAACTCCAACTCTAGAACAAGTCACTTGCCTTTTCAACTCTGACCTTCTGAGTATTTGTGTTACCAACGTTTGAGAGGAATAGATTTCGTGATTGTGAAGAGAGGTTGTACTGCATTACAAAATAATTATAGTGGGCTTTTCCGGGTTTGATTGTGAATGTGGCATGATCCAATGAAAACTTGTAAATGTGTGCCACATTGAAATCGTCCTCATTCTCAGTGCTGACGGTGTATCTTGTATCTGATTAGTCAAGACCCGCCCTTTGAACCAATGCATCTTGAAACTTCCGTGTATGGCCTAGATAAATGGCATAATCATTTCACATTCATGAGTACCTCGGTCACCATTGCTCAACAAGATGTGATTCAGTACAACCCCCACGCGGGTCCATAGGTGCCGCCATCATGGCCCGCGCAAAGGCCTAAACGCAACATTGACTGTTTCTTTTTACTTTGTTACGCCTCACCAATCCAAACTGGCTGACGCAATACACGCGCGCGCTTGCGTCAACCAACTTGCGCCCGTACCCCTGAGGCTTAAGAGAGCCTCACTTTGTCTATAGCTCCCAAACCAAACGGTTGTCACGAGAATCAGTGCCTTTTATTGTGTGTACTGTATTAGTCATAATCTGCTACCTGAGTGAGTGCCAATATAATCCGCTACCGTTGTGTTCCACTTAGTGTGTGCTTTACTTCAAGAAGGTGACAACGCCTGATTGAGAGTGTGTAGAGACAAAAGTCTTACTGGGGGCTCAGCCGCGCGAGAACTAACCATAGGGACCCCAAATGAGCAAATTGTGCAAAGTGAAATGGATGAAGCATCCCCGAGTCCATCAAGCGATTCCGCATTGGCGTTTGCCCAAAACTATTGCAATAACAACCAGTGGGCACATCTCATGCTACTGGCAATACGATTGTACTGTGCAACCGCACAAATCCCACATCTGGGTAACCGAGATGAACTCGTCGCAGCGCTCCAAGCGCGAGGCGTACAGCCAATCAACGTGCTACAAAACACAGCACCCAGACCAGGAGCCAGCCCATCCGCCGCCAAACTTACCGCCAACATCACCGAATCGCTGCTCCAACGCAGGGCGGATTTTCTGAAACAAGCACAGGGAGAGGACTTCAAAGTCTACCTGCGCCAACTGGAAATCGCATTCAGTCATGACGGGACGTCCAACACAAAAATTGACTGCCTGATCGGGCACACAATGCCTACAGTGGTGGCGGCAGCCCAACGCCTCTATGACGAGGGATATCACAATTACATCGACATTGCCAACCGGCTCAAGATACAGTTCTGGCTATCGCCCTTCAAACATTTCACGCAATTCCTAGCCCTACTGCCCCTCGGAGACAAATCATGGGCACAATTTGGCAATCGCCTACGGTGCAAGTATATCCGCTACTTACCACTCAGCACAACTGACCTACCTGGTCAAGAACAATCCATCACCGCCGCACTCATCGGGCAACTACTGGCAATCACCACCAGAGGGCTCCACGCCCACCTATATTCCAAGGCGACCGCCGATCAAACCCTCACCTGGGTCAATTGTCTCGCGTATGCGGATGAATATTGCCGCATGCACCCCAACACTCCACGCACATCGCCGGCCCCGCAGAACACACAACAAGGCAACTGCTGACCAAAAACCACAGCATCCGGAGTACAGAAGCATTACTGTGACCACCACCAATGGTACGTCCTCCACACAACTGCCTAATGCTCGCTCGGGCAAAACCCAAGGCCCAACACGGCTACGGGCAACCAATCACCACAAAACCTTCAATCGTGTACCTACCACCCAGGTCGCCTTGTCGCACACTCGACAGCAGACTGCCAAAACAACCCGGCCAACCAGGTAAACACACCTAACATGCAGACAGTCCAACCAACTAAATGTGTGCAATGCGGACTTACAGGTCACACGGCGACCCATTGCCCGAACCAGGGAAACGCCAAGATCGGGCAGTGACGGCTGTCCTTTGCTACATCCCCCAAGATACAGACAACAGCCTAACAATCATCATTGGCATCAAGGACAAACGCGTCACAGCGCTGATCGACACTGGAGCCACCAGGTCATTCATGGCAACCAACGTTGCAGCCAAAGTAGGGCTCACACCCCATCCGACAAAGGCAAAGATCTCCACAGCCGTCTTACACATCTCCACCAACATCAGCCACTCGGTAAGTACCACCTTTTCACTCGGTTCAGCCGACTATTGTGCAACCTTCTTTCTACTTGCAAACGCGAGGTACCCAATAATTCTCGGCCTTGACACACTAAAAAACCTCCCGTTTTGTGTAACACTCAACGGCCAACAAATTTTTCTGGGTTTCAAACCATAAAACCCATCAATGAAAGCCCGCAAGCCGAAACTGGCAAAGGCATTACGTTTGTAAACGGCTCTCCCGCCGAACAACAGGCGGTTGCCCACTTACTTGCCAAATACAAAGACAACATCTTCCAATGGTCAGGGAAGCATGGACTGTTCCCCAAACATGTCGCATCCATTACGACAAATGGCCAAGATCCCGAGCCACCAAGGCACATCCGATTGTTGCCCGACAAAATACCAGCAATGACGGAAATCCTCGCCAACTACACCAAAGCCGGCATCATCGAACCAGCGCAGTCCACGGTCAACTCACCTGCATTCCTGACACCAAAGACAAGAACCCCAATGCACCAGCAATATGAAGATGGCGCCTAGTAGAAGACTACCGCGAAATCAACAAAGTCATACTGGCAGACAACTACCCAATGCCGGCCATCCAAGACATCCTTGATGCACTGGGCAGACAAAACACCTACTTCTGCTGCCTGGATCTGCACTCCGGGTATCACCACATACCTATAGCCCATGGCGATTGCCACAAAACTGCATTCACAACCCCGACCGGGCAAATGCAATATACAGTGATGCTGTATGGCCTGAAAACTGGTCCAGCCATCTTCCAAAGGACCATGGAAACCATCCTGGGCCAACATCTCTACAACCAATGCCTCGTATACATTGACGACATCATCGTCTTTGGCACCACATTCAAACAAGTGCTGCAAAACCTCTCCGAGGTTCTACACACCCTGGTGACAGCCAGGGCATCAATAGACATCTCCAAGTCCAAATTCTTGGCAGAATCTATCCACTTCTTGGGACACATTGTCAACAAGACAGGAACACAACCGGCAGACAAACATCTCAAAGCCGTACAAGCGTTCCCCAAACCCAAGACCACAAAGCAAATGCGGAGGTTCTTGGGACTCGCAACGTACCTGCGCTCGCACGTACGAACCAATTTTGCAAATCTTGAAAAAACCCTATGCAACACGATCCCCTTGAAACCAGCCACGGCGCTCAAATGGACGCCAGAAGCAGAGGCCACCTTTGAAGCCCTAAAACAGGTGATTGCCAATGCCACGTGGCTAGAACGATTTGAACCACAGTGGGACACCAAAATCCACTGCGACGCCTCGGCCACCGCCATTGGCACCATTCTAGTCCAAATCGACCACGACGGACAACCACACATTATTGAATATGCCAGCAGAGTTCTGATGCCCGCTGAGACCCGTTACTCCAACACTCAAAGAGAACTGCTGGCAGCAGTATGGGCAACAATCAAAAAGTTTTGACACTACGTCAAACATCAACAATTCAAAATTGTCACGGACCACAATGCATTATTAGGAGAGCTACTTGACACCAGACTCATTGCCCTCCGCCTCAAACTGGAACCATTCCAGCATACGTTTGTACACCGGCCGGGCAAAACCCTCACAGGGCCAGACGCCCTCAGCCAAATCCAGCTCAACAGCATACAACTCTGCAAAGTACCCGATCCTGGGCAACGCGCCGATATCATTGACCAATATCATGTGGAAATGGGCCACACCAACTGGAAAAAGACCTTCAATACAATACAAAAAAGGTTCACCTGGCCCGGCATGCACACCAACATATTTCATCACGTCATACAATGCGCTAAATGCTTCACATTCAACTCGGCGACCGCCGCAGTGGGTACCAAACTCATACCTGTTCCGCCAGCAGACAAACACGACTGACTCGGAGTCGACTTCTGGGGCCCATTCCCCCCATCAACAAATGGCAACCAATACGCAATTGTCGCTACTGACTACTACTCACGCAGAGTGGTCACCACACCTGTCAAACGCGCAACGGCAAACGCCCTATGCAGCTTCCTAGTGGACGTTTTCGCCCAACTGGGCACATTCAAAATAATCCATTCAGATGGAGCAGCGGTCTTCAACTCAGCGCCGTACAAAAGGTTTATCACCGCAAATCAAATTGCATCACACATTGCCCAGCCATACCACCCCAAAGGCAACGGCGCTTGTGAGCAAGCAATCAAATCCCTGTTGGCTATCATAGCAAAGACAGCACCAACCCCAACCACTTGGGATGATGTCTTACTCGACGCAGCAATTGCATACAACCAAATGCCACACACCGCCACCGGGCTACCACCCATAGAACTCTGGCACAAAAAGCCAATACCCACCCCAGCGGACATCAGATTTGAACTACCGCCAAGGGACATATCCCCTGAACTCAAAAGAGTCAAAGTAACTAACCAAAGATACTGCAAACGGTACATTCAGCAGGCCAATAGACATCGCCAACCCAAATTTAAACTCGGCCAAATGGTAACCCTCAGGCCACAACTGAAAACAACAGAAAAACACGCCGCAAACCGGCGCTTCTTACCAAAACGCTTCGGACCTTTCCGAATCACAGCAATCCTTGGCAAAGCAAAATATTGCATCCAAACCCTAGCGGGCAATCGACAAGCAAATGCCTGGGAGTTACAAGCATATAACTTTCCCGTCGCGCCACCCCCTACTATACCAAAATATCTAATGAAACAACATAGTACAAAATCCCTCTGTTCACTGGATACGGAAGAAACCAATCGGCCTCGATTTTGCCTGGACCCAGGGACACTCGACGCTACAAATGAATCCAACAACAAAGCCCATCCCACGACGAGCTCCCCCAAAGTGCATCAGGCATGCAGCGAGACGCCCAACCAGGCCCCAGCTATGCCAGACCGCTCTCTGCCATGCACTCCCACCGCGACATCACCCGTATCAAGCGTCGACATTCCGCCATTCAACAGCCCTCCCCAGGAACCAACACTGCCGCCTCAACCGGATCTAACAACCGCCGCAAATGCCGCCGATTCCCCAGCTCCAGTAGCTCCAAATTGTCAGTGGAGGAAGCGCCAGCGGACATCAAGCCCCGCCGCCGGACACTGGCACAACCGCTCAACGGCACAGGACCCATCACGGACAACAAATACTAGCAACAACAACCTCACCTCAACAGAATCTCAGGACGCCCAAGGATCTTGACCAAAAGTCCGCCGCCGATGCCCCTCGCGATACTGTCAGCCTTGGCCTCCTCCTCCCTTGTTCTTTTGCCACCGCCGGCACCTTTCTTTTTTGGGGGGGGGAGAGTACGACCCCCGCGTGGGTCCATAGGTACCGCCATCATGGCCCGCGCAAAGGCCTAAACGCAACATCGACTGTTTCTTTTTCTTTTGTTACGCCGCACCAATCCGAACTGGCTGACGCAATACATGCGCGCGCTTGCGTCAACCGACTCGCGCCCATACCCCTGAGGCCTAAGAGAGCCTCACTTTGTCTATAGCTCCTGAACCAAACGGTTGTCAGGAGAATCAGTGCCTTTTATTGTGTGTACTGTATTAGTCATAATCTGCTACCTGAGTGGGTGCCAATATAATCTGCTACCCTTGTGTTCTACTTAGTGTGTGCTTTACTTCAAGAAGGTGACAATGCCTGATTGAGAGTGTGTAGAGACAAAAGTCTTACTATTCCACTTTTCTTTGTGAAGGTAGAATAGTAAAGCATATTCCCCTGGATTCCTCTGCAGGACGCTGACGATTTTCTTGGTGTCGTGAAACTGGGGAGACCAGTATTATCCCTTTGGGGTGGATCCAGGAAGGTCTCCACAACTCCGCTGTATGCAACGTAAGCAAGGGTTCCGGAATGAAGACAAATTGGGCGATTTGAGTGGAGAACACAGAAGTGTTGTGATCAGGAGTCGGTGGAAGGGTTTGTGAGGTACACGATGCTTCCACCGAGGGGTTCGTTCTCAATCCTCCGACGTTATGTTGTCATGCATATGGCCGTTGGGTTTCCGCTGGCATTTGACGGTGAGATTCGTGTACCAATTGGTGGCTACTGTTGAATTCAAGCAGGTGAGAATCTCCTGACCCGAATTGTGCGTATAGTAAGATTTGTCAGCTGCGCTTTATCATTGAAATCCGTCGCTTAGGTCCCACTGGATTTTTCTTTGATAAAAGCTTTGCAATAGCTTCAACTTTGCGTGGAATTGAGATGTCACGAGTAATGATGCGACCAGACAACTGAATTAGCCGACAAAAAACTCAAGAAATCTAGGCTGACAAAAACTGAGAATGATCTTGACGGATGAAATAGTGGTTCAACGCATGATTGGCCTAATGTAACGCCTCTGACAAAAGATACAGTATATTCACCCGATGCAACAGTGGAGCTAAAATCGTCAATTTAGCGGGAATTATCGTTTTTTAAATTGTTGAAGCCAAGTTTTGAAGTTGAGCAAAGAAGGGATGTAATTAGATCTTGGTGTTAGCTTTCTTGGAGTACCTGTGAAGGGATTAACGGAGGCTGCTGCTTTGTGTAATCCCATCCCGTTTTCACGTTTTGCCTGAATTTGAGGCTAATTCATTCATTCTCTCTTGAAGGCAGCGGATGACCCCGAGGTGGAGAGAACTGCGTTTATCAACTCACTGGCTACCTCAAATCACGGCTGGAACGTTCACATGAAGCCTTCTGCAATATTTTGAGACTGAATCGAGTACCAGAAGTGGTGCTTGTCCACTGAAGACCAAGTCAATCCTTCCAAAATCGACCTGGAATATGCGTCGCATTCGTTGTGCAGTGCCTATACATCTCAAGTACTGCATACTTTTGATCCTGTGCCTTTCATGGAAAATCTAAAAACATCGAGCAGTGGAGGAAAACTTTTTGAAACTCGGGTGTTCTTCACAGGCAGGTTTCTGCCTCTGGCATGTTTTCGTCAAGTAAGGGATCGCTCAATCGTCATGGATGGAGGTGACCATCGGAATTGTTGGCATATTGCGACTGTGTGAAATGTGAGAACCTCATCTTAGATTTGAATTCACTGAAGTGTCCCCAAAGAATCATAGGAGTGCCTCATTTATTGTACGTCTTATACTGTACATGATGAACCGCTGTGCTTATGCGGTTCATTTGTCAAATGTTAGACTACTTTTCATAGAAAAATTGTGTGGGAAATATTTTTTTTAGATGAGTGACTGCTGGAGACTGCAACGGTTTTAGCGAAATTCAATAGCATATCTAATTCGTGGCAATTTCTTGTAATTTTTGAATTCGCAAAATTTCACAAGTTGTTGAACACACTCAACTGCCTCTGCAATTTGGAAAACTTTAAAACATCAGATGGAAGACTTGTTCCAAATGTGTTGGGTTTTTTGTTGAGGTCTTCGATTCAATCTTACGAATGGATGAGAAACACGTTTATAATTCGTGAAATCGTTGGAAAAAGTATCCAGGGCATCATTTGGGTTTGGTTTGTGCGTCGTCTGATGAGGCTTTCAAGGAAGGGATCGATAGAGAAATTGGTAATAGTGTGCATTGTTTTCAAAGATCTAAGAATGGTTTGACTTTTCCTATGTGACTTTATGATCTTGCCTGTATTTTGCAGTATATGAAGCTGTCTCGTCGAAGTGAATCAAAATGTTTCACGACGAAAGTTGTCGATGTAAGCGTGAATCTTGCTCGGGAGTCTCCGGATGATCCAAGAGTTGCGAGGGTTTGCTTGAGAGACCTGAAGAGACTTACGAAGGATTATCGCATTCATGCCACCTTGGATGAACTGGAAAGTGAGTTTCTCTCATCTCGAAACGCGCACCCATCTGGAATGCTTTTCAAGTTTGCCGAGGAAAATGCGACGAAGAGTGATTCGAGTGGAAAACATAAATGTTTGAATGCTCTGTTGGGGAACCTATCTTTGCTTGGAAGAGGCATTGTTCGTAGACAAAACGAAAAGATTAGGTCTTGTGCGTGTATGGCGTTAGAATATGATCCTTCCATTGCAGAGCATAGATGTGCAACAGCATCTGTTCATCATTCGGGAGGCTTCATACGCGCTTTGTACGGCAATGTTCGTCGGACATGTTCCGCAAATGCAGTATCGAACCCAATGTATGTACAGTTGTCGCCCGGAAAACGTCTGGCTTCTCTTTCGCCCAGTTCTTGAAAGACGCCATTCCTTCAGTGCCTGGAGCAGCCAGGGTTGATCCTCTGATAGACTAAACGATGTCCATTACCGAGTCGCAACTTGTTCTGGTGAGTGTGTTTCTATGTATTTTATGAAGCCGAATTTTGATACTGCCTGTTCAGCATGGGGTACTCAATCAGGTCGTGTCCAAAGTGTGAATCCTACATCTTGTTGGTGGTAGCCTCTTTTTGAAAGAAGTTTTAGGCGAAATAAAAAACGAAGAAAGCCATTGTCCAAAATAATGCACATTGAATGTTTGATAATACTGTACACAACGATTACCTGCCTCGTACCGTACGAGCTATGAAAATTTGGGAAGACTGTTTTGAGGCATTGGGAAGGTAAGATCCTCCAGCTTGTGCTGAGAAACGTGCAAGAGAGAAGTCTGAGGACAGGGAAATTAATATATTATTGGACTAGGAAAATGGCATGAGGTTTTTATTTATTTTTTTCGAAGGTATATTTTTATGGTTCATTCCATATTTGCTTTGGAGCCAGAATGGAGAGGAAGTTTTGATTGATAAGATCTTCCCAATGATGATTTCAATGTTGGAACGGGTAAGAAAAAGTGTATTGAAATCTTTTTCCAACGGAGGTTCTTGCGCAATTGACAACCTGCCTACAGCATCGCAATTCTAAATGCGGATGAACTTCACATATAATTCATTCACTATTTCAGAAAGGAAAAGTATTCCAGATTTGAGACTGGTGATGATAGTTGATGACCCTGCGGTCTTAACATCTGTTCTGGAGTGATTTTGGGAATGCTGTTTTTATTTTGATTTGATATTGGCATTCCATGGCTGGGTTTGTCAGCTACTCCTGGTTCACATTTTTGGTATTGTTCCGTGTGGCAGACGTTGAGTAGAATGTGAAGTCTGTAGCTAATAGTTTTTCTAATCATCGGGAAGAGAACATCTTGCAAATACCAAAGGTATCTTTAATTTAGTGTGATGCCTTTTTTAGTGGCCAAATTTGAATTTATTGAATGTTTTGCTGTTGAATGTCTGGGGCCTTTTCGTGTGTCATACAGTTTAAAAAATACAGTCAACCCCCGTTAAACCGCCACCCTCACCTCCCGCAATATTTTTACCCCAAACAAATCTCCCCAATGTTAAAAGGATGGGGAAACCTTGATAGACCACCATCCGCCAACAATTTTCTGGCCACAAATTGGCACCTGCCCTTGTTTTTTTACCCCTTTAAACCGCCAATTTGGTGAGAGATTCAATTTAAAAATATGAACAGAATGCAATGTCTGAAAAATCAAAACCAAATGGATGCAATATTTGCTACAAAATTCAACAAGAACACTAATAAAAATGCACAAAAAGTCATATATTAATGTAAATATATTCTTATATCCATCATGCTTTTTCTTAATTTTTTTTGTCCTATAGTAATTTTATAGTGAACCGCTACCCTCAATAGACCGCCACCCTCGTTAAACCGCCAAAATCTTGCTGCACAGATGTTGGCGGTTTAACGGGGTTTGACTGATTCTGCACTGCTGTGCACCATTCAGCATACTTTTGTATAGAATATGTTGGATGTTACAAAATGTAATCTCACCAGTCCTTTTGGTTGCAAAGGAAACTTGTAATGGTGGAAGGAAGACAATGGGTGACCAGAAATAATTCCTCTGCATTTTTTGTGGATCGAGATTGTTCCAGTCGAGATTTCCTGACTCTTTTCTACTTCTGTGATTTGTGGTTGCAAACCTGTCTGAGTGCATACTGTTTTTTTTTTCCAGTGGAAGATGTCCCAGTTCAGGAAAAGATTATCTTGTTGACTCACCGAATGAAGAACCTGAGCTGAACCAGTTGAGGGATTTTTCAGGGTTGAAATTGTGAGTGCGCGCCTTCAGTGAGTTCCTGGATCAGTGGTTCCTGAATTACAAGCAAGTGTCTAGCCAAGAATTGCATTGCATGAAATTATGGTGAACATTTACAAAACCCATTTTAAATCCTGGACCCTCTGAATATGTTGTATATTAAGTGGGAGTTTCATAAGATTATGAGCC